CGTCAGTCGGACGCAAGTTCATTTTCCAAACAAAACCCGCTGCAAGTGAAGAAAAACAGAAATGTCGCTTATGCCAGGAAGAGTGCCAGAAGTTGATAAATTCAGATAATTTTCGATCCAGTGCTTGTTCAGAGCAGCAGAAGTCTGAATCTGAAGTGGGAGAAATTAGAAGAAAAGTGCCGACGGAGATAGTGGGGTGGCAAGTATTATTCCCCCCAACACGTTACCCCCCTCAAATGCTGTGAGCTCTTCAAGTTCAAAGCCCTTCCCAACAAAAAGAAAAGAAAAGCTCCGTGTGCAACAGCAGTGTTTGGTAAAAAGAGCTTCTCAAAGCGAACACAATGATTACAAGACATTGTGAAAGGCCCGTCTCTTCAAAGCCGAAATATACTAACCAATTACTCGAATTGCGCTAAAAAGCCATCAGCGAACCCTGCTAGCCTGGAACTCTCGAATTACTCCAATTTGATTTATACCACTGCTTATGTTGTGTCTGTTAATGATTCAGATGAAAACAGTAAAAACCTCCCATCCAGTACAGATTATCAAGCCTTAACTAGTTTATTGTTGAACGAACTGCAAGGAGTCGAGCAAAAAAGGATTTCTGATTGGCCCGCGACAACAGGTCTCGAAGTCGGGCGCAAGTGCCGAGCCGAGTGGGCTCGTTGGACCCAGCCATTAATTTGACATTTAGTTCAGACTCTCAGCAATCTTTGAGGTCGCACTCTTTTTCAGTCACATTTGGTAAGTTCCAGTTATTCTGATTTTTTTTGCCAAAGAAAACAGTTTCAAATTTAAAATCATTAAATAAATTGCGCAAGGCTTTACAGCTACAAGCAATATTGGTGCAAACGGATCTTGCTATCCGACTTTCGAAGAAAGTGACGAACTATTTGTACTCGGGTGGTTTTTTGAAACTTGGGATACCTGCAATGAGGTTCCATGGATTATAATCGATTATGTCGGATTTTCAAGGTCTGTCTCCGTTATACCCTAAAATAATCATTTAACAAGAATTAACAAGACTGCTCGTATCAGGGTAAAGCCCTGATTTTTCCGACTACCTTTTAAGGTCTATGGAGCAATAAGAATATCAAAAAATTAAATGTAACAAAATAAAATGACAATTTTTTTAGTTTCAGATTTTTGCGAAAATCATCCCCCCACACGCAATATGAAGTAGAAAGACATAAATTTCGTTCCTAGTAAGAAATCAAATATCTTAAATAAGCTTCCTTTAACTTATTGGGAACTATTTCTAAGTCAGATTAATTCTCCGCTGACGTGTCAAAAGCGTGAAATAAATCGCGCGTAAATTGTGCCAAATTGGCCAAAATGACAATCTTTAAACCTCCATAATTTTCAGAACCCATGAACACAGGGGAAATATTCTCTCATATTAAGCTCAGGACACAAAAATTTTTGAAGTATTTTTTAAAAAAATTGTCAAAATGACTAGTTAAAAAGTCGAAACTTGTCTGAAGAAAAAACAAATCACCCGAGCACAAATGTTCCGTTACTTTCGTTACAAAAGCTGGAAAAATAATTGATTGTACACCAAACAATAAAGAAATTACTTTATTCCAGTATCATCTTTTATAATGAATTGCAATGATTTCTAACGGATTAAAATGATTTATTACAGATTTTATTGTTCCGACTTTCGATACGAAAGTAACGGAATATTTGTTCTCGGGGTGGGTTTTTTTTTCTTCAGACAAATTTTGACTTTTTAACTAGCCATTTTTGACGAAATTTTTTAATATCATTCAAAAAGTATTGTTGTACTGAGCTTAAATTTGAAAAGATATTCTTACCTGTGATCATTTTCGTAAAGTTATGGGGGTTTAAAGATTGCCATTTTGGCCAATTTGGACAATTAACGCGCGATACACTTTCGCGATATTAACGCGTAAGCGGATATTTAATCCGTCTTATAATCGTTCCAAAGTGGTTGAAAGAAGCTCATTTGCCATAATTGATTTGTTACAAGGAGCGAAATCTATTGTTTTGTTCTTTATATGGCGCGTGGGGAGATGGTTTTCATATTTTTTTTTTCAAAATTGAGAAATTTTTTTTAAATTTTATTTTATTTCATTTAATTTTTTTTATGTTTTTTATGTTATTACTGCTCCATAAACGTTAAAAGGCAGTCGGAACTTTCAGGGGCTCGCCCTGATACGAGCAGTCTTGTTATTTATGAACCTAATTGCGGGTAGTTAACGCGCGATTTATCTTTTGTTTTTTTACGCATAAAAGGATTTTAATCGGTCATAGAAATCATTCCAAACTGAATTGAATCACGCTAGTTGATCTTTTTGATACTTAAATTTTAGCATAATTCATTACTCGCTGCTTTACATAGCGTGTAGGGTGATGAGTTTTTGAGAGAAACTCTAAAAAAACTTGAAACTTCTTTCAAAGTTTCATCCATTTTTCTCAGAGAACACACGCAATAGACAATAGAGTTTTGCTCAGATACGAGCTTTCTTCTTATGAATTCTCTTTTTTAGCTATTACCAATTTACGATTTAATTGAAAAAAAGCAAGCTTAAGACGAGCGATTTTTCTCTATAAACAACTTTTGTAATAATATGAAAGGGCAGTAGGTGCTTATGAAAATAAATTTATTAGTCGTTTCAAAATTTCATGTTTGTTCCTAAATTTCATTTCGTGCATCAAATACGACTTTGTTTGTGGCTCAACTACAATTTGGTTTGGTGTAAATCGATTGTCAATCAAGCTCACACCCTTCAAATTATAATTTTTGGGGAAAACAACTACTGTAGCTGAATCCTCAAAATGTGTCAATTCCATTCGAAATCTGTCAAAAAATGGTAAATAATAGTAACCTGAGATTTTCACTCAGAAGAATTCTGAAATTTCAGCAAATTTTCGCTGTTTTGAATCAGTACATTTTTCTGAAATACTAAATCCACGTGGCTATCATTAAGCTCGTTTACCTAGTGAGGTTGTGAACCACAAAAAAATTGTTTTTAATTCACTTGCTGTGCAATTTACAATTTTCAGGGAAAGTTTTGATTGTTACATTTGGCAAAAACTAATGATCAAATACTGAACCGATGTTATTTATAAAAACAGGTGGCTTGTCTTGTTAAGTTATAACGACTGCTGAAACCTGAGAAAGTCGAGGCACCCTTAAATCAATAAATTTGAATGTTTTTAGACCAATTTGAAGAATAATCAAAGCCAAATAATTGTAATATGGGTCGCTTGTAGCTGCTACTGTTTTACTTAATTGTGGTTTTATGCAATTGTGGTTTTTGTAGATCAAATTTATGGCCAAAAAACTAGCTCGATGACTTCGCCCTAATTAACCAATTTGTAGTTCAGCTCTAAACCTGTTTAGACCAGCGAAATATGTCGAATATTTCAAGAAATGATTCCATTGCTAGTGATTCTCGTGGCGGCAGCTTTGGTAGTCGCTTTACTCTTTCGAGGAAGCTCTCATTTAAATTCAGAAAGTCGAACACTCCAGCAAACAAAAATCAACCTGCAGCTCCAATCCAGGACACTGGTTATCATCGAAATAGCAACAAACTGGGCGCAAATAACCTAGAAATGAATCACAACAATTCCAAGAGACCTTTTCGCATTCCAGACTTTTTCAGAAGGAGCCGAGCCAAATCAACAGGATCATCGCCTTTCTTGCATAATCCAAACAATAGGGTGAATATTATCCCTCAAATATCAATTGAAGCACCAAGAAACGACGTTGCGTGCCAACTCAGCTCCCAGAAAACGTTTTCCGAAATCGGAACCCAAACATCGCAAGCCGACTCACCTTCGATCCGAAGTCGGTGCAACAGTCGACGAAACAGTTCGCTGACGCATCAAATGCGAATCAAGCAGCTTTCAAACAGCGACTCAGAAGCTGAAATTGAAGTTGAATCGAAAGACGAGAGCGTCGTCTCGGAAAATGATAACCAAGCAATCGCAAGTGCTCCTGCGCCCGCACTGCCGTCGATCATCGTAACCGACAACAATGAAAAGTACCTCGGAATCCGAAGAAAAATCTCGTCATATTGGCGCCGAATGTCGCTCGAGTACTCATCTGACGATAGCCGACGGGGCAGTTTAAGTCCGAATATCAGTCGTCGGAATTCGGCGACGAATGCCGAGTCAGTAACTTCGGGGGCTGCGAGAAACTTTGCGTATGGGAGAAAGGCGAGCGAGGGTCCCTTAATGGACAAGTGGTTTCCTTCGTTGCTACAGCGAATGACAAACACGGCGTCCGCTGATTGGCTGCCAATTTCAACATCAAAAAGTGTCCCGGAGGTATGACTATCTACAGTTTCATTTTCCAAAAACGTGTTTTTTTTTTCTAAAACAAATTTTTTGAAACATATTCTCTTCAAACTTATTTTTTTCTTATACAGCAGTTTTTTCGTTGGTTTCACAAACAGCTTTGTAGTCTATACTGTTTTTAGCTTGAAAACAAATCTGCATTTTCAAACAACAGACATTTTTGTTATGATTGTTTTTCTGCGGCCCATTTAGCGGAAGAAAAACTTCCCTGCTACTAGATCACAAAAACACCGGTCTCTTTAAATTACGAAATGAACCACCACTATAACTGAACAGGAAACAAATCTTTTTATTTTCAAATTTCAAAGAGGTTCGTTAAAAAAGATTAACCAAGGTGTAATTATACCTTTCCGTTTGAAATTTGTTGGGTCTATGAATTTCAATTACCAAAGCATCGGGCATTATATGCATTTCGCACTAATTGGACAAATAATGGGGCTATTTTTATCTACCGGTATGATTTTGCAGGGTTCGAAAAGTTTCCCTAATTTAATTGGAACTAATGCTGCTCGACTTGTTCACCGTTCGCTACACAATTTTGAGCAGAACGCATTAAGGAGCTCGTCCTTCTTCTTTGAAAAATACTCGCGCGGATAGAAAAACCCCGAAAGCTATGCTTGCCAATCAGAATTCACTAATCAAAAATTCGAAAGCAATTAAGTTAGCAAATCAGTCGATTTTTGAAGTTCAACAGACCGTTGATTGATTGGGTATTTTCAGCCGTTCGGTCCTTTGGTTATAGAAGTAGTACCCGTGAAAGAAATTACCCTAGAGATTAAATTGGAAATATCGAATTAATCTTATTTCCCGTCTCGGTGTCATCTGACACCATGCAAAATGGTAACAGAGGAAATGAAGATAGGCTGATGTATAGGATTCCGAAACTGATACGCTTTGTCAAAGAATTAATTTGCTCTTATCCGACACTTCACTATGCGCAGAGACAGATCTAGAATTTTCTCGAGGGGGCGACAAGTTGTATTGACCTTTTTTAGGTCAACCAAATTGATAGATTTTGCGAGTGCTCATAGAAAACTATAAAACCCTTTTTTGACAAAAAATTTTGCGCCGCAGGCAAGTTTTTAAAAAAGAAGCTAAAAAAGTGTTTTTGGGCAATTTTTGGAAAATTTTGACAAAAAAAATCTTCCACCCTCAAAATCACTATACATTGGCGCCAAACGCTCTTTCAAATTTTTTTCGGTCGGCCAAAAATGGATGTCTTAAAATAGGCCTGAAGAGGGACCCTTTTGGTCGTGAGAGGGTGAATTTTCTGATCAGGGAGGGAGTGAGGCGTTCGCCATACGCCCCTACCCCCACCCTCACCTAAATCCGCTTCTGTATATATTGTACGTTTGCACTTAACATTTCACTGATGATAATTTTTCCTGGCAGTCTTTCGCTGGTAGCTCATGGAATGAATTTTAGAGATTCTCTGTTACTCTAGATGATTTTTGTTCTTCCTTACGAAGAAAGTGATGGATATAAGTGCTGGGGTTGTTTTTTTCACCAGACGAATTTCGATTTATTAGTTAACAGTTTTGACTCTTATTAAAGTATGTGAAGTGGGGAATAAGAGAAAGAGCAACAGTATCGTTTTTAATGCCATTTTTCACAGATATCATGCCACTAAGATAATGCCCTGAGCCCATAACTCAAAAAATATTTTTCTGTGACCTTTTTTCCCACAGCTATTGTGATTAAAAACGCCTATTGGTCATTTTTTGAGAGTTTATGGTTCCAACTTTTGTAAGACAAGCTTTTTGATATAAGCAATGATTGAAAGATGAAAAACATTACTTCTATTACTGTGGCATGTAGTGGGTTGGGGCTTACAGAAAAAATTTTGGTTCATCATTTTTCGCAAAACAAATCATAAATTTTGAGGGGGAATAGGAACTTTTCAAAAATCTTTTTGCTACTCGTATACCTTGAATTTGGAAGAGTGGTTCAAGGTAAAAATTGTTTTTCCGACTTTCGCTACGAAAATAACGGAACGTTTGTGCTCGAGGTGGTTTTTTTTTCTTCAGACAAATTTTGATTTTTTAACTAGCCCTTTTTGACGGAATTTTTTAAATATCATTTATGAGTTATTGTTGTCCTGAGCTTAAATTTGACCTTTATTTCACCTTTGATCTTTTTTGGTAAAGTTATGGCGGTTTAGAAACTGCCATTTTGGCCAATTTGAGACAATTAACGTGCGATAGATTTCGCGCTATTAACGCGTGAGCGGAGGTTTAATCCGTCTGAGGATTCGTTCTAAATTGGTTGAAGGAAGATTATTTGCCCTAATCAGTTTGTTACCAGGCGCGAAATCTAACACTTTTTACTTTATATGGCATGTGGGGACATGGTTTTCACATAAAATCTCGATTTAAACTTTATTTATTCCAATTCAGTTTTTCTTGTTATTACTGTTCCAAAGACTCTAAGAGGCAGTCGGAACATTCAGGATTTTGCCCTGATACGAACAGTCTTGATTCCTATTTTTCCTTTTCAAAAGTTTTTTGACGCAAAATATTGATTTTTTTTAAACATTGAGTTTGGTTGGACCATTTTTTTGTCTTTTTTTTCGATTTTTTTGCAAAACGATTCATCAATTTAAATATTGGGTTATCAAATCTTTCAAACTGTTTCCCTGTTAAAATTAGTACTGTCTGTTTTTCAGATGGATTTACTTCAAAGATTAATTTTTCTAAAGAAGAGCCTGATTTTATTGAAGGCCTTAGAATCATAGTGTGGATACTAAATAAAGGATTAGCATGGTGTTGTAACATGAAAAAACAATTGCTGTGCAAGTGGCAAAGAGTGTTCCAAACACTACAACACAAGAAAAGAATACCAACAAAATTTGTTCATTTTTTTTACTTTCAAGACTAATTTTTCTAAAGAAGAGTGACTGAATTAGGCAACAAAACAGAGAAGCTAGAAGTAATGTTAACTAAAAAACGTTCAAAGCCAAATTTATTTTTGTTGTCATCAGTTGTATCAAAAAGTATGAGAAAAAATCGTATTTTTTTGTTGATTTAAAATTGTCTGAACTTTGTGCGTTTTTGCTTTGAATACTCGAAGAGTAAAAAAAACTTTGGGTTTGGGTCGGTTTTTGGCTCTTTTCCAATTCCGCTTCTTTCAAAATACCGAGTTTTATGTTTGTATTACGTCTTATTATGCCTAAATGCGGGATGTTACGCTGTTAAGTATGAAGAACAAATCTCTTCACAGTTGTTAATTTGTTCACCACGCCAAATTTCATTGCATTATGACAACATTAAAAAATATTTTCAAAATTGATTTTGAAAGGAGGGAATCTGGAAAAAAGCCCGGTTTTTCTCTGTCAAATGTGACTACCCGCACCGAGCGCCAGTGATCATAATTGATTACATTGTCATAAAATGGTCAGTATCTATAAATGTACACAAAATAATCAATTATAACCTATTAAAAAAGGATAATTATTCCTATATTTTTTATGCCACTATAATCCATTATAATCAATTCTAATTAATTATAATCGGTTTTTTCGAGACGGCTTTTTCATGAAATTTGCAACTTCAGTTGCTACGTAGGTTTCATAAAAACCTACATTTCGCAATATATTTTATGTTTTTTTGTCTTATAGTTTTATATATTCTGATTGTACCCACCCAGTTTACTTTAGCCCCCCTTTTTTTACCGCCTCCCTCAGTTTACTTAACCGCCCACCGTTTACACCCTGCTAGTTTAGCCCCCACCTGTTACCCCCACACCCCCCCCCCCCCCCCCCCCGTTCACCCCTGCCAGTTTACCACAACTGCCGATCACCCCCCCCCCCCTTATGTTTGAACACAGGGGCAGGGTTATTTATTGGTTGATTGGTTGATTTTAGGGAGGGCGTTAGTGATTGACAACCCCCAGTTAACCGCCCCCTCGGTAAAAAAAAAACTTAAGGGTTTGACGTTGAGACATGGCGTTTTGTAGAAATCATAGCATACATTTTTCTAAATTTACTGTAAAATTTGCAAAACTGCAAAATTAATCGAATTTAGTTCTAAAAACAAAATGGATTATAATAGATTATAATGAAGTATAATGGAAATTTTTTTATCAAAAATAACTGATTATAATGGATTATCTTGGCAAAATTAATCGATTTTAAGGCCGGAAATAATGGATTATAACCGGTTATAATGGCAATATAATCATTTTCGTGGCCTGAATTTTACTTCTGTATTGGATTATAATGGATTGTTTTTGTCTAGGGAATCCATTATAATCGATTAGATTCCATGGGCGCTCGGTGCCGGTACTTTATGGAGAACTCTTTAAGTGAGTGAATATACGACAAAGTTTTGAAGCGGTTTAAATCGGGATATTTTCGGTTTTCAGACAACTTTCGTCAAAACTGATGACAACAAAAATAAATTTGGCTTTGAACGTTTTTAAGTTAACATTACTTCTAGCTTCTCTGTTTTGTTGCCTATTTCAGTCACTCTTCTTTAGAAAAATTAGTCTTGAAAGTAAAAAAAATGAACAAATTTTGTTGGTATTCTTTTCTTGTGTTGTAGTGTTTGGAACACTCTTTGCCACTTGCACAGCAATTGTTTTTTCATGTTACAACACCATGCTAATCCTTTATTTAGTATCCACACTATGATCCTAATTTTTGGTTGTGTCACTTGAAAAATTGAAATATCAAAGTTTTATAGTTTCAGACTTTTCTATATTTTTCGTATAGAAAAATCAGGCCTTCAATAAAAAAATTTTCAAATTAAAGCATTTTTTTGATGTACAAAAACTTAATGAACTCATTTTTCAACTTTGTTCAAAGATGCATGGACATGCAAGAAGAGCTTTGTGGGCTAATATGCGGGAATCGTATGATGCGGCATTCTTATGCTATTATGCGCAAAAAGCTTTCATCTAAAGAAAAGTAGACTACCTGGCAGATAATCTGCTTTTCTTTGGATTACATTTCTTTGAGAAAACCTTCTTTAACAATAGGTTATTCTGACTAAACTTCCTAAATAACTCAAAAAATCATTCCATGGTTTTTGAATCATTTATTGATTTTTTTTAGATTTCGAGTAACTTTTGTTTGATGAAACAGACTAGTTCTATGCCAATTATCGTTCCTTTCGAAAGCAGCTAGAATGCAGCGTTTGGAGCTTCGGAAACAACTACATGAGATAAAACCTGGTCAGGAAAAAAGGTCTGAAAAAGTGAAAAAACATCTTGTTAAATTCGTATAAAAAACAAAATATTCAGACTAGACTGGTTTCACTCTAAATTTCTTTAATTTACTTGGAAAAAACCGAATCACAACTGAGAAAATGTTTATAATTTAAAACTACATCAATATCCTCGGAGTTTTCGAGAGGTAACTAATCTTGCACAAAAAAGAGCCCGTTATCATAATTAATTTTTTCACACTTCAAGGCAGGGACGGATCTAGGATTTTCTTGGTGGAGGGACGGATTTTCGTAAAAAATTCGAAAAATTTATCGACTTTTTTTAGGCCGACCAAAATTAATTTCTGAGTTGTCCCATATCAATGTAAAGACCCTAGTTTGACAAAACTTTTAGCACCACAAGCAGATTTTTGAAAAAAAAAACAGACCAAAAAATGCATTTTTAGGCGGTTTTTGGAAAACTTTGACCAAAAAATCGCGTTTTTTCGGCGCGCGGCTCCCCCTCAAAATTAGAATATAGGCTTCTTTTGAAAAACTTTAGGGTCAGTCAACCAAAAATGGATATCTCAAAATACACTGCTGATTTAAATTATCTGGAAAAAAAACGAACAAAACTTGAATTCTCAAACGCGTTTTTCTCAAATTGGGTTAACATTAGACAATAATAGATAACCTTTTTTCTCCGAAATTCTCAACAAAAATTTTACCCCAAAAATGGATCATTTTGGCTTTTTTTCAGTTAATCAAGAATTACGCTGAAACTTCTTTGTTAATTGATAAGAAAATTTTGTCACAGGAAGCCTCCTACGCAGCTCAACAAAATTTAACAAAGGTTAAATCTCCAAAAATTTGCGCAAATTTTTTAATTTTTTTTAAACAGACATTCTGGGTTTTATATAGTAAAAATCATATTTGTTGACTATCGAGTGAAAATTTTTTCTCTCTTACTGGTTTTTGAAGACTTAACCTTTCTTAAACTTTGTTGAGCTGCGTAAGAGGCTTCCTGTGATAAAATTTTCTCATCAATTAACAAAGTAGTTTCAGCGTAATTCTTGATTAATTGAAAAAAGCCAAAATGACCCATTTTGGGGTAAAATTTTTGTTGAGAATTTTGGAGAAAATGGCACCATATTAATTCTGGTGAAATTCTAAGCAACTTTTGATCCCTTCATTTTTTGTCTAATGTTAACCCAATTTGAGAAAAACGCGTTTGAAAATTCAAGTTATGTTCGTTTTGTCCGGATAATTTAAATCAGCACTGTAGTGGAAAGGGGGACCTCAGGGGGGATGTCAACCAATTGAGCGGCCTCCTGTGGCTACTGATACTGGAAGAAGACGAACCGACAATGAGCTTGCAAAAAACTTCAATATTTCAACGGTCGCTCGTCCTGCCTTAACTATTAGCTGAAATATTTGCTTATAATTTTCATCTGCTCGCTTATATCAGATAAAATTTGCATAGAAAAAAGGTGTCAATTTTTTATCAGCATCTTTTGTAACAAAATTTAGAATGAAAAGTGAAAAAACCAAATTTTTTCGGTACAAGCCACAAGTTTTTCTTTCAATTCGTCCGCCGAAAACAGTCAATTTAAGTTTTTTATTATATTCAAGTTGATTTCATCATAAATTGAAAGAAAATGTATTATTGGTTCAATGTTTTTAAAACTCTCTTCGTCTATTTTGTTTATTTTGTGAGATTTAAATGTAGATTGGCATCTTATTTTCTTATTCTTGGAAGTACGTAAATAATTAGTTTTCAAACAATAAAACAGTGAACTGATTACTATGAATTCCATCATTAATACCAAAAAACCCAATGTGATTTACTTGTCTTCCAAAAGCAGCATTCGGATCAATCAGATTTTAGCAGTGCTTTGAGGGGCTGCACTATTGAAATAATAGTCGAAGACACTGAAATGGGCGTCACAGTTCCCGTTGTCATCGACGATGAACAGTCCTCGGAGGACTTGGACTGCACTTGTTGCACCTCTAAATACTCACAAAACTGTCCCAACCCTCAGTGTCAGTTTTACTATTCTCATTATCAACAAATCGATATAGCCCCAACGTTGGCAGATCCTGAGACATTCGAAGACAGTCTGGATCTCGTATTCGCCCGCAGTCCGGGGTCTATAACCGAATCGATTTCGATTCCTGGACCAAGCGAAAGGCGTGAGTCGGGCAGCATGGAGATCATGCAAGGTTTCAGGGCACGCAAGTGCTCCATGCTGCAGGTTCCGCAGCCGCACTTAGACGAGCGGGTGGTGAGTCTATGGGTAAACGTGATTTAGCTTTAGTTTCCGTTGCTTAAAAAAGTCGACAGATATGACCAATGGTCAATCTAGCAAAAAGTGAACGCAATTGTTTTTTTTTCTTACATTTTGTTTGCATTTAATTTTGGTTATTTAGTGTTGCAGTCTATAACTGTGAATGCGTTTTGTAAACTTTTTAGACGGTTATTGACTGTGTGACCTGACCCCCCAGATAATTGTTAAATTTTATTTATCCCATTTGAACGTGCTAGATGTTTCACTATTAGTTGAATATCTTTTCCTTAAGCGCGTGCTCCTAATTTCATTTCCATAACATAACGAACGTCAAGTGTTCGCTTTTTCGCAAATATTTATGTCAATAAACTCCCGCTCTGAAAGCAGAACTGATTTCTGTTGAAAAAAAAAACAGAAAAAATGAAGAAAAAAAACTAACGACAGATCTTCGAACTGGTTGATAATTGGTAAGAAACAACTAAACGAGTAATGAAACCAAATTACGTTTTACGGACAAAATTCCTATGAGTTCTTTTTTTAATGGACCATCGAATTTGGGTACCTTACTTGAAACTTTGATACTGAATATGGGTGTTTTAGCATTTCTTAAAACTTTTTTCCACGCGCAAATTCAGGATCTAATAAGTCATCGTACAGTATCCAGTAATTTTACGCTGAAGCCGGTAGCGGGACGTGGAAAGTAAACGACCGCCCACCTAACCTGGTTTTTTTTAATCGTGGAATTTTCGACTTTTTTAAAATATACATTCGTTATAGACCAGAAATTTTTTTACTAACTTTAAGATCGTATTGTCTGGAGCTCAAAGGTAAGAACTTCCACCTGTAATTTAATTCTTGAAAATATGAAGATTTGAAAATTTGGAATTTAACCAATTTGGGATAATTAACGCGCAAATATTTGCGTTCTGATAACACACGCAATAGGCGGCTTAATACATTCCAAAATAAATCGAAGCCTACCACTTAGTTTTATAAAAAAAAAACGCTAAATACACCCTTTCTTTTAACATGGCTTGTGAGGAGATAGAAAGAACAAAAAATTGATATTTTTTTTTCATTTTTTCTTGAATTATTTAACCAGGAAAAATTTAAATTGACCTGAAAGTGCAGTCGGAAGAATCAGAATTATACCCTGAATTACAAACAATTCTTTTGCTCCAATATGAGCTCGCGCTCATCATAATCAATATTACAAAACAAGGTTAGCTGGTTAAAATGCAAATTGCACAGAACGTTCCGACCATAGTCTTTAGAAAACTACGGTTTAGAAAGTTTTTTTTTCAGTTCAGTGCAGTTTTTCTGCTTGGTGTGATAAAACGATCTGATGTAAAAACATAATTTAGGCGTATTAGACAGTCATAGTAGCATAGGCAAATGGGAGAAAAATTTTTTCTTGAAAAAAAAGCACAAAAAACTTAAAAAAATCATTAAATTTAAAAAAAAAAGATTTTTTGGGCAAATTTTCAAAATTTTTGAAGTTTTGGTTCCCAAAATGAAGCTAAAAACTCCAAAAGCTAGTTTACCTGCTTAAAATCGAATTATTTGCTGACATTCGAACTTGTTGTGAATAAGGCATAATTAGGCATTTCAGCTGTTGTAATGCTGCTCGCTTGCCTCATTGGCTCAAATTGAGACAAAAAATCAAAAATTTGAAGCCGATTTTTCACGGCCCTTTCTAAGGTGGACACGAATTAATGTCGATGACACTTTTATAATGTGGTTTAAATCAAGAATGATAGGGTTTTCAATAAGATATATAACTCAACCCTTTCCGATGGATAATTGTGATACCTTACTTTGCGTGAAAACAAAAAGAAAAAAACTAAAACACACCCGAATACAAAGTACCTGCCCATTTTCAATGGTTAGAAAAAACCCTTGCTTTAAAAACGAAATTGAAATCAAATTTCTTAGTTAAAAAAAAATTTGCATTGGGGTTTTTCTCAATTCATAAGAAAGATCAAAAATAGTTTATTGTGAAATTTATGCTGAAATTAGGAAACTTTTAATTTTAAAAAACAAAATATGAAAACGAAAAGCGCCATCATTTTGACAAGCTTGGGATTGAAATCAATATAAAGCAATTTTTAACAGACAAAATACACCATAGAAATTGATTTATGGTAGCCCATTTGGAAACGAGAAGCAATTTAAAATGGAATAAATGAACTCTTACGGTAGAAAAGAATTCGATTTTTTTTGCATAAAAAAATGGATTCAAATTGATTTTTACAAAGTCATGAAATTCATCAAAATTCAACAAATTTAATTGAAGTTTACTTTTATTTGTTTCGAAGCATGAGCAAGTTTGTGTACTAAAACTAAAACGAACAAGAGTCACTCGAGGAGAGTTTTTTGCCGCAAACTATTGCGTTTAAGGTATTCAAACTGTGCTAAAAGTTCCCTTGGTAATGAGAAACACGACAATGCAAAATTTTTTCAAATTTCATTTTCATTATTAGTGTTCTACTCTCATTTTTGTTAGCCAAATATTGTATAAAAGCTTCAAAATACAAAAAAAATTGTTTTAACTGCTGAAAATTTGGATATTACTTGCCCTCAAATAACGATAAGTCAATTGAAAAGCTTAATATTTTTCCCCACTATTTCTCGTTTGTTTGATAGTCTGGAGAATTTGAATACAATCTGTATATAATCTGAATAAAATGAGTATACAAAAAAGTATCTGAAACTGTATTTTTTAGGTATCTGCTACATTATCTGAATGAAGCTGACTGTAATTTTATTCTTGTCAGTAGGGATAGGTTTTCGTAAGACCATTTTATCTTGCCACCAGCGAAAACAAAATGACGCAATTTTTTTTAAAAAAAATAATAACTTCTCATGCATTTTTAAGAACATTGTCAGAACTTTCGGTGCTACTTGCACAGCAACCGGCTATCCTTGCTCTTGTGTGAAATTATATGAGAAGTACTTTTCGTGCATGGAGGTCAGACGAGTGTTGTATCATGAGAGAAATATCATTAGACAGTCTGAGACGTCTGTCATAGCATTATTTTAAAAATGGCTGTTAGGTCACAAGAGACAACCCTCGTTACCTCGGAGCAAAATCAGTAATAATTCAATTATGATTCAGCGAAAACACGGCTCTGTCATAGCTATGTGTCAGCTCTTTTTTTGGCCTAGATCAGAGATAAAAAACAAAAACATTAGAACTGATTCATCGAAAAGTCAGAATTAATGATCTGTTTAAAAAGGGCAAAACAGGACATCAATCCGGGCAAATGTTACAAAATAAATGACAGTTGGTTATTGTTACATCCCTTTTTCCAATTTTTTACATCGATTACGGTCATGAAAATATCACCTAACATGTCTTCCTTCAGTGATGCCGAACATTTGAATGAATTGGAGGCGCAATAAATTTAAATCTAGTAAAAGGCTATTTTCGCTCAATCAGATGCAGTAAAAAAACGAGTACTTAGAAGGAAACATGAATGAATTTGTAAATTGCGACTTGAGCAGCCTAGATTTTTAATGTCCGCCAGGCACGAACAAATCTGTTCTTTGAGCTCAATTCAAATATAGTGTATGTAAATTGTATTGTGGCTTAGATGAATTAGGTTTGTGGTTCCAGCTAATTGAGATCATGTTTAGATACGCATTTTGCTTGCGTTTAAAAATTGGGCTGAAAGTTTTTACACTGAATGCCAAAATGTTTTCTGAAACTTTAGTCTAAAAACTCGATGTCTGGTTTGTTTTTCAAATATAAAGTGGACTAACTGAATCAATTTTTTTTAGTGTAATCGCTGTTTTATGCTTAATGTTTTGTTGTCTTTGATGTTTTATGAACTTTGTTGCTGAGAATTTGAAAGATTTGCTTACTTTTACGCGACAAGCATGGATCGAGACAGCAGTTCAGATTACTCCGAGGTTTTCTTCAGTTTGCTTTTTTATCATTTCCGTTGACCGCAAATAACAATCATAAATAGCAAACATTGTAGAGTCAACCTTTGAAATGTGGCTGAGATGTGTTTAGCTGAGAGAGCGTCTTCCATCGAAGCTCCCCCCTAGCACAACTGTTGTAGAGGATTTGCCCTGCGAGCCCCCACCCTCCAGTGCGTTGAATCAGCGAAGGCGGGCCACTGCTGGGTTATCACAGGTGCGAACTTTAGTCCCTTAACTCCGTGTGAATCGAAACTTGAATCACTCATCAGAGCAAAGTTAACAAAATTTGATGAAATTATCCAGAAAACAGGTGCTATTACTGATAATTTATTGGATAAAATTTCCTTAATGCTTCCCAATTTGTCAACAAAACAATTTTTTGATGTTTTAAGTTGTATTTTCCTTTTCAGGCGCCCAAAGTGGACAGTGACTTAGAAGACAAAATGGACAGGTACCAAAAAGTTTGTTCTCAAAGCTATTTGTAGCCAATTGCTACAAAATTTTTTTTATTAATTATTGAAAAATTTCGATTTAAGAACTACAGCTTAATTTTCTAGCCTAACCAACACTCCTGCTATGGTGCGTCGCTTCGCTCTCACCAAACAAACATCGACGACCACCAAATCAACAACGAGCCCCCAAGACACACCAGAGGCCTCTGGATCGCCTCCCACTTACAACAACTCCCCCTCAAACTCGACAGTCATGTGCTCAACTGTCAAATGCTCACGTCCCAAATTGTCCCAACTGCGGGGTAACAACCGGGATCCTGACGATATCTCGTCTCCTGCCGAACCCCCGCCCTTTTTCTCGGACAAAATTGACCCTGAGAGGTGCGAAGATGTTCCAAGAGGGAGTGAGGGCCACGAGTTTGCCGAGGGTAGTGCTTTGGTGTTGGGCATAGGTCAACAGGAGATTGACCCCGCAGAAGTGACTCTTGCCGACATCCAGAGCAGAAGTTACCTCTATTGGAATGACACAGACAGTATAGGAGAGGCCGCTGCATATGAAAGTGAGGTTTACTTTTTTTTCGCAGCGGACATGTCTCATTATACGCTTTAGGCTCGTGTCTAAAATTATATATCTTTTTCAGCACTTTTTCTATTAGGTTATAGTGGTTCGAAAGTTGCCAAATTCGCCAATTCGGGATACTTAATGCGCGCTAATTGTAGCTTTTAAACAATAACTAAATACTCATCCAGAAACCATTCCTGTTTGAATTGAGGCGAGCTAATTAGATCAAAACTATGTTACTCTGTACACCAAAAATTTGTCTGGGAGAAAATTGAACAAAAAAAATATATATAACTTTTCAATTTTTTAGTGTATTTATTAGAACAAGGAAAACCGGTTGCTGTGCAAGTAGCACAGAGCGTTCGGAATATATTTTTCAAAACTACAATTTTTTTCAAGTTTCGTCGTCTTTTGTTTTTAGTGTGATGAGAGAATCAAAAAAGCCTAAAGTTTTGATAGAAAAAATTAAGGAAATTCGACAACAGTTTTTCTTATACTCAACAGTTTTTCACAACAGTATTTCTTATAAAGTTTTAAAAATTCAAAAAAAATTCAAAAACTCGAAATCTGCAAGTTTTTGCTGATTTTTTTTATTCGCTCTAAACTTAAATTCGCAAGAAGGCGCCTATTGACTTCTCGATAACTATTTTCACTCTATTTCCAAATGCGGTAGTTTCAAAAATTTAAAAAAAAACTAAGAGCGTTTTTAGAAAAAGTTTTTAATTTGTTTGTTTGCAAGTTGAAAATAAGAACTGTTTATCATATCACTTTTTGTTCCGACTACTGAAAATTGGGAACACAGTTGTATTTGCATGTGTTTCATCTTTTGGTTCTTTCTGTTTGCAAAATCAGATACCACAAATTATCAACGGAATGAATTGGATAAATATCGAATAAAAGCGTCTTCAGTTCTGATTTAAAGGACATCAATAATTTTCAAAAAATATCCAAAAAATGGTTAAATTGTTTTTATTTCTAGTTCAATTTCGAGCAAGTAAGGCAATCGAGAAACATTCGTTCAACCAAAAGTTAGTTTCTATAGGCCATTAGGTTAAAAAAACTGATTTTACAAAAAAGAAAACTAGTTTTGGGGGTATCATTCTGCGCTGCTTTGGCAGTACACAATTTTAAAAAATTAAAGTTTTTTTTTCAGAAAATTAGCATTATTCAAAAAATATTTTAAAAAATTAGGCAAATCTGGCAATCTTTGTCTCAATTTGAGTTGGTTTTATCAAAAGATTCATTCATAAAATCTTCTTGAATTTCGAAAAACTTAAATTATATAGTCGTTTTTCATTTGGTTTATGTAAACTCAGGGGCAAAATTAAGAGGTAGGAAGCATGGATGCGTGGTAGCAAAAGCGCATTTTGCGCTAAAAAATATTGATTTTGAGAAGAGAGCGAGTGCCAAAAACGCGACAAAAAGACCTCGGGAAATCAATTTGTTCACCCTAAAAAGTCTACATAATTTTCTCTTTTTTTGAAACTCTCCCCTCCAAGAAAATCTTTGATAGGCTCCTGTTTAAATTAGTCAACTGTTCTCAGCTCTCTTTTTTTATGTTATTTGTATTCATTTCAGATAAAAAGCAGAAAACTCCAATTTCCTGGAACATCTTCAAGAGTGGAAAAGTGAGTTTGAATCACTTAAATTGTTGCTTAAATTAAAAAAAAAAATCTTTTTTGTTCGGAAAATCGATTCGGTCTACCTAAATGTTCGACAAAACTTCCGAAATTGTGAAAAATACTTGAAAATGCCGAATATTTTGCTCGAGCGTGATGTGATTTTGACAATGTTTTCAACATATGCATTGATCGATCTTGCGAAATTATAACTGAGTCTAAGAATAAAGCGACCGTGTTTAGAAACAGACGTCAGAACAAGCGGAGTTCCAGCTTACGTTGGATACACTCAAAGTGGTACCCATAGACCACCACCTCATCCATCTGCGGGTGAGAAGAAGCGATAGATCTTAATAGCTCGCCCCTCTATTGAAAATAAAACTGTACCTGATTTCTGAACAGCCAAACATGAACACGTTAGGCTCCTGCTGGAATAAAAATGAAGAGCTTGATTTAGAAAAAATCATACTTTTTTTGCAAGGAACTAAATAATATAAAATTTAGGTTGCAAAGTAATATATCGATTGCGTTCTCTTTTTTCAGTGTTTGACAACAGTTGCTGCTGATGGTGATTTTGATAAATTAAGTTTTTAGTTTCGAAAGCGGATTTATAATTTTAGTTTTCATAGCAGAATGAAAACCTTGCTTATTGATTCAGTTTGCCCAAATTGTGTTAATTTTATCGAAAAAGTTATAATTATGAAAGATTTCTTGAGATTCAAAAAAGGTTAAGAATTGTTAATTTATGTTGTCGTATTTTTTTATGCTCGTTTGGGTTTTTCAATACTACAAGAGAATTTTTCTAACTTCTGATTTGTAACTCGCAATAAACAATTTGTGTTTTTAGGAGTTAAACTTAATCAAATTTCATCTTAACAGGACAAGACGTGGCCGGAGGTTATTGCTGACGTAAACCCCAGGGCAGCGAGGAACAGCAGCCAGTCGAGTGTGGGGGAGGACGAAAAGAAAAGGAGGGATGTCGTGTGGGAATTGTTCACGGCCGAACTAAACTATCTCGTGGATCACCTTCTCGTCATGTCAAATGTAAGCAAGCCAAAAAAGTGAAAGTGTATAAAGTTTTTCAAAATCGTAAAATATAACGAACAAGGAACATTGCAAAAATCCCACGTTCAACCTATTCGTTGTCAGGTCAAAGCCTTAGTTATTTAGCTACTTCATCACTGCTTCCTTGATTTAAAACCGGATTTTTTCACACTTTTGCAGGTCTTCCTGGAACCCCTAAAAGAGTCTCAGTGCGAAGGATTTCTTCTCAATATGGAACCAGTCAAAATATTCGCCAACCTAGAAGACCTCTGCAAGGTAAGAACCACTTGATTTTCCAGCTTCACACCTGTTTTGTCATAACATGTTCATGCTCCTTTAATTGTATTCAGCATGTGGTTTTTTTCAGGTCACTTCGGTTTTCTGCTCCGAGATGCACCACTACATATTCCGAGCACCTCCCATATTTGGCAGTGCCTACGGAATATCCAAAGTGTTCCACAAGGTTACTAGAATTCTCAACAGTTTAATTGTTAATTTTCATTTACAGGAAGCTCGAAACTTCTAGCCCAATTTCGGTTGTTGCGGTTAAACTGCAGATACCAAAAATCAAATGAAGTGGGAAGAATCTGTTCGTTGAGGCTCGAAAAAAACGGCTGCAAACATTAAGCTTGATAATATGTTTACACTTGTCTAAAATAACAATTTAAAATTAATATTGTTAATTCAGCTAACTGAAATTAATATAAAAAGGACTGGTCTTCTCAAAACAATTTGCCCCGCGTGAAAAAAAAAACGATCAAAATAATTTAAAGCAAAAAAAGTTTTCAGTTTTGTAAATTTTATTGTTTATTCAATTCGGTAATTAAGTGATAACTTGATAATTTCTGCTGAAATATTTCACTTAACATGTAAACTTGGAACGTTGAAAGGTGTATGCTCTCTTTACTTTCTGTTCAGTTTGAGCACCAAATCTGTCCCTCCTATCAACGCTACTGCATGAACTACTCCAACGCCCTCTCCTACATGGAACACCAGCTGAGAGGAAATGTGCCCTGGGAAATGTTTGTGCGCCACTGCGAAAGGGATTCCAGGTAGGGCAATCAACAGAAAGGGATCCAAGACAGACAAACCTGCATGTAGCAAACCTGCAAGTAGCAAACCTGCAAGTAGCAAGCGCGGGTCATACTCGTTTTTAATCAGAGCTGGAATTCGTCAAAGAAAACGGGGCCTTATGCACTAAACGGCCCAAAATCATTATCTCTACATCTCTTGAACTGAAATTAATGTGGTTGAATTTGATTGGCTAATTAGCCAACAAGTTTCATCGACATTTATTGCCATTTCAAATGAAATAATTCTGCCATTTCAACCAGATAAAATTTTTGTTTTGTCAAGCCATTTTATTAAGTTTTTCTTGTCTGGGTTACTTTTCACAAGTAACTCAAAGTTAGTTTGCTTATTTTACAAAATTCCATCTTTTCGGAAGTTTCGGCTGATGTTTTTATCTGCTGGAAAGGTTGATCGGAATGCCTGCCCGGGTTGAAGTCCCACCGTTAATTATCGCTTTTTCTGTAGTATCCCAGTGATCGCTATTTTCCAGCGCTGATTCATGTATAATTCAGAGTTTGTTGCATTGATAAACCTTCGATTTTCAGAGTTATTTCGGTAATGATTCCATAGAAAATCATCGCTAAAACTTATAGCAGATTAGCTCTTTAGCAGATTAGCTCTTTAGATTTAGTTGGTTTAAAGATTGATAGCATAGAGGTAGAATACAGGGCTCTAAAGCTCAAGATAAGGGAATAGAACACCTGTTAGAGCACTATTTTTTTCATCATTTTGATAAATTTTTTATCGCTGTTTCATCTCTGAATATAAGCCAAATTAGCGATATTTATCGATAAAATTTGCTATTGTGGCAATGAACATCGATACTTCATCGATGGCGATCGCTGTTTTTTTCCCCTTTTTATCGCTAATTTTCAATGTGAGCTCAACCCATTTGACCGTCTAATTGAATTTGATTGGCTAAAATTACCCAATTAAATTCGATCGTATAATTTCCAGCTTACGATGTAGAAAATTTGATTTTGGGCCGTTCGATGCATAAGATCCCGAAAACGTATTGGCTCATCATGAATGAGTCGATAATTGACTGGTACGGTGTATTTGATTATACCTGTTGCATATTTCGTTCCGTTTAGTGAATTAGTACAAGTATTGTGTAGCTCGAACAACTTAAAAGATTTAATTGCTAAAAATGAGATAATAGTCTCGTGCTGGCAATTTGAGAGACATTTTTCGAAATGGTATGCAGTGGGAGAGATCTTTGAAAAGGATAAAAAAGTGCAATATATTGATTTCTCGCATTATAATCTAACCATCCTAAATAAAGCAGCAAACTTCTGGTACCATAATTCGATTTTTTAACCTAGGTGCAAACGACTGAAGTTGACGGACCTTCTGGTGGCCCCCATGCAACACTTGACAAAATACCCTCTGCTGCTGAAGACTATCAGAAAGAAGACATTCGACCACAGGGAGCGCAAACTGCTACAGGACGCCATCTCAAACGTCGAGGCAGCCATTAGTCAGTCCAAATTAGTTATCATAACTTCAAAAGAATAAGAAAAAAATTAGTCGCTTGAAAATTTAAAATTATCAATAAATAGTTCATCCAGCGAAACCCTGTTTAAGCGCAATTTTTTTTCGCTCGGCTTTGGAAGCGCTCAGACAGTATAAAAAGACCTAATTGTAAAGGAGGTCTCAAAACAACTTTGTTTTTGAAAGTGAACAAATCAAAACATGTTCAGAAACAAAATTTGCATGAAGTTAAAACTGAAAAATATTTCGAAATAGTAGCAATAATCACTATTTGAGTTATCGCATGTCTTACAATTTTATCGAAAGTATTCATGAACTAGTCGGACTGAAATGGGTGTTTGTTTCAGAGAGCGTCGAAGGTCAAGTGAAGTGGCTGAAGAATTTCGAGAGACTGCAGGAGCTGTCTAAACAGATCCAGTGGTTTTCAGTCCTCGAACAGGAGCCGAGGCCACACCTCCCAGAGGTCAGTTGAGTACAACTTTCAACAGTAGACCCATTTTTGCGATCAACTTCACGAGACATCAAAGAACTGATTATACAAACTTCTAAAAAAAAGTTTGAAATCAGAAAAAAAATCATAAATTATATGCATTCGAATCCGTCTGCTACAGCAGCCATTTTAATAGAAATTATCGAATTCTTGAATAAATTATCTGCACCAACTGATTTGCAAATATCGGCAGATGACATTCCATAACTTTTTTCTCCTCAAAACTTATTCAATTGAGTTGATCAGAAGATGACAGTCCATAACTTTTTTCTCTTCAAAACTTACTAGTTTTGAGTTACTAAAAGTTGAAACTGTCTGATTTTATTTTAGTCATTGAGGCAGAGAATTCGAGAAGGTTCTATGGAAAGGATCATTGCAAGTCCGCTTCGAAATCTACGATACGAAGGCCAATTGTCCATGCTGGGTAAAATTAAATATCCTTCTATCTCTTGATTCTTCCAATCTTCAAAGTTTATTGCTCCATCCATTTAAAAGAGGAACTGTGTATTCGGCTGTGTTTTAGTTGTTGTAAGAGTCGATAAACGTAGTTCAGTCTCTTCCATAGGTCGCCGTGACTTTTTTTTTTCAGGAAAACACTTGAAATCTGTTGAGGCTCAAATTTACTTTTTCGCGGTTTGATATTTGATTTCATTTTAAATTCAGTTAGTAGAAGTAGTAGTAGTTGAGGCTTCTGAGACTTGGTTCTCAGGGGTTGTAAGACCCGTTTTTGTTGTTAGTCATCGAGTTATTTTCTCATATATAAACAAAGCTTAATCGAGTTTCTTCCAGTTATTGCATTAAGAGCATTTGCAGATGTTTCTCAAAGTGCACTTATTCAAATAAAAAATATTTCACGAAAAAGATTCAGTGAAGTTGGCCGATGTTGTTTTTGTTTATTTCATTTCCGTATTTCGTATTTGTCGAAACTTTTGATAATTAAATTGTAGAGAAGTTTGGTTCGATGGAAATAATTTTCGCCTGATTTTGATAGTCTTTTCAGACTAACGTTGTGTTCTTCTCTACTGAATTGTCTAATTTTGTCACCATGAGAACTTCGAAAATATCTGGAAAGTCGTATTGGAATTTAATAGTTATAGATAAGGAAGCAAATCGTTTTTTTCAAGATACAAACTCAAATGCAAAAATTGATTATAACTAATTGTTCCGACTTTCGATACGAAAGTAACGGAATATTTGTGCTCGGGGTGGGTTTTTTTTCTTCAGACAAATTTTGACTTTTAAACTAGCCATTTTTGACGGAATTTTTTTAAATCATTCAAAAGGTATTGTTGTCCTGAGCTTAAATTTGAAAAGATATTTTACCTGTGATCATTTTTCGTAAAGTTATGGGGGTTAAAAGATTGTCATTTTGACCAATTTGGGACAATTAACGTGCGATATAATTCGCGCTAGTAACGCGTTAGCGGAGATTTAATCCGTCTTAGAAATCGTTCCAATTTGGTTAAAAGAAGTTTATTTGCCATAATTGATTTGTTACATGGAGCGAAATCTTTTGTTTTGTACTTTATATGGCGTGTGTGGAGATGGTTTTCATAAATTTGCTTTTCAAATTTTAGAAAAAAAAATTTTCGTTTTATTTCATTTCATTTAATTTTTTTAAATGTTTTTTATGTTATTACTGCTCCATACACGTTAAAAGGCAGTCGGAACTTTCAGGGCTTCTTCCTGATACGATCAGTCTTGTTATTTTTGAACCTAATTGCGGGTAGTTAACGCGCGATTTATCTTTTGTTTTTTTTTACGCATAAAAAGATTTTAATCGGTCATAGAAATCATTACAAACTGAATTGAATCTTGCTAGCTGATATTTTCGATACTTAGATTTTAGCTTAATCATTACTCGCTGCTTTACATAGCATGTGGGTTGATGATTTTTGCAAGAAACTCTAAAAAAAACTTGAAACTTCTTTCAAAGTTTCATCCATTTTTCTAAAGAGAACACTACGCAATAGACAATAGAGTTTTGCTCAGATACGAGCTTTCTTCTTATGAAATCTCTTTTTTAGCTATTACCAATTTACGATTTATATGAAAAAAAGCAAACTTAAGACGAACGATTTTTCTCTATAAACAACTTTTGTAATAATATGAAAGGGCAGTAGGTGCTTATCAAAATAAATTTATTAGTTGTTTCAAAATGTCATGTAAGAATTAATGAGCTTATGTTTGTTGCTAAATTTCATTTCGTGCATCAAATAAACACGGAAAACACTTGAAATCTGTTGAGGCTCAAATTTACTTTTTCGCGCTTTGATATTTAATTTCATTTTAAATTCAGTTAGTAGAAGTAGTAGCAGTTGAGGCTTGGTTCTCAGGGGTTGTAAGACCCGTTTTTGTGGTTAGTCATCGAGTTAATTTTCTCATATATAAACAAAGCTTAATCGAGTTTTTTCCAGTTATTGCATTAAGAGCATTTGCAGATGTTTCTCAAAGTGCACTTATTCACATAAAAGATATTTCACGAAAAAGATTCAGTGAAGTTGGCTGATGTTGTTTTTGTTTATTTCATTTCCGTATTTCTTATTTGTCGAAACTTTTGATAAATAAATTGTAGAGAAGTTTGGTTCGATAGAAATAATTTTTGCCTGATTTTGATAGTCTTTTCAGACTAACGTTGTGTTCTTCTCTACTGAATTGTCTAATTTTGTCACCATGAGAACTTTGAAAATATCTGGAAACTCTTATTGGAATTTAATAGTTGTAGATAAGGAAGCAAATTGTTTTTTTTCAAGATACAAACTCAAATGCAAAGATTGATTATAACTAATTGTTCCGACTTTCGATACGAAAATAACGGAATATTTGTGCTCGGGGTGGGTTTTTTTTCTTCAGACAAATTTTGACTTTTAAACTAGCCATTTTTGACGGAATTTTTTTAAAATCAGTCAAAAAGTATTGTTTTCATGAGCTTAAATTTGAAAAGATATTTTACCTGTGATCATTTTTCGTAAAGTTATGGGGGTTTAAAGATTGCCATTTTGACCAATTTGGGACAATTAACGTGCGATATAATTCGCGCTATTAACGTGTAAGCGGAGATTTAATCCGTCTGAGAAATCGTTCCAATTTGGTTAAAAGAAGTTTATTTGCCATGATTGATTTGTTACAAGGAGCGAAATTTTTTGTTTTGTACTTTATATGGCGTGTGGGGAGATGGTTTTCAAAAAACAAATTTTCAAATTTTAGAAAAAAAAATTTTCGTTTTATTTTATTTAATTTAATTTTTTTAAATTTTTTTTATGTTATTACTGCTCCATACACGTTAAAAGGCAGTCGGAAATTTCAGGGCTTCTTCCTGATACGAGCAGTCTTGTTATTCATGAACCTAATTGCGGGTAGTTAACGCGCGATTTATCTTTTGTTTTTTTTTACGCATAAAAGGATTTTAATCGGTCATAGAAATCATTCCAAACTGAATTGAATCATGCTAGTTGATATTTTCGATACTTAGATTTTAGCTTAATTATTACTCGCTGCTTTACATAGCGTGTGGTTTGGTGATTTTTGCAAGAAACTCTAAAAAAAACTTGAATTTTCTTTCAAAGTTTCATCCATTTTTCTAAAGAGAACACAACGCAATAGACAATAGAGTTTTGCTCAGATACGAGCTTTCTTCTTATGAATTCTCTTTTTTAGCTATTACCAATTTACGATTTATATGAAAAAAAGCAAGCTTAAGACGAACGATTTTTCTCCATAAACAACTTTTGTAATTATATGAACGGGCAGTAGGTGCTTATCAAAATAAATTTATTAGTTGTTTCAAAATGTCATGTAAGAATTAATGAGCTTATGTTTGTTCCTAAATTTCATTTCGTGCATCAAATAAACACGGAAAACACTTGAAATCTGTTGAGGCTCAAATTTGCTTTTTCGCGCTTTCATATTTAATTTCATTTTAAATTCAGTTAGTAGAAGTAGTAGTAGTTGAGGCTTCTGAGACTTGGTTCTCAGGGGTCGTAAGACCCGTTTTTTTTGTTAGTCATCGAGTTATTTTTCTCATATATAAGCAAAGCTTAATCGAGTTTTTTCCAGTTATTGCATTAAGAGCATTTGCAGATGTTTCTCAAAGTGCACTTATTCAAATAAAAGACAATTCACGAAAAATATTAAGTAAAGTAGGCTGATGTTGTTTTTGTTTATTTCATTTCCGTATTTCGTATTTGTCGAAACTTTTGATAATTAAATTGTAGAGAAGTTTGGTTCGATAGAAATAATTTTCGCCTGATTTTGATAGTCTTTTCAGACTAACGTTGTGTTCTTCTCTACTGAATTGTCTAATTTTGTCACCATGAGAACTTTGAAAATATCTGGAAAGTCGTATTGGAATTTAATAGTTATAGATAAGGAAGCAAATTGTTTTTTTCAAGATACAAATTCAAATGCAAAAATTGATTATAACTAATTGTTCCGACTTTCGATACGAAAGTAACGGAATATTTGTGCTCGGGGTGGGTTTTTTTTTCTTCAGACAAATTTCGACTTTTTAATTAGCCAATTTTGACGGAATTTTTTTTAAAATCATTCAAAAGGTATTGTTGTCTTGAGTAAAGTTATGAGGGTTTAAAGATTGCCATTTTGGCCATTTTGACCAATTTGGGACAATTAACGCGCGATATAATTCGCGCTATTAACGCGTAAGCGGAGATTTAATCCGTCTTATAAATCGTTCCAAATTGGTTGAACGAAGCTTATTTGCCATAATTGATGTGTTACAAGGAACGAAAACTGTCTTTTTGTACTTTATATGGCGTGTGGGAGGATGATTTTCATAAAAAAATTTCATATAATGTTTTTATGTTATTACTGCTGCTCCATAAAGCTTCAAAAGCAGTCGGAACATTCAGGGCTTCGCCCTGATAGGAGCAGTCTTGTTGTTCTTTGTAATCATTCAATGAGGAGAAGATTTAACTTGCCGCATTTTTTGTACTTGATCCAATTTCACAAGGTTTGTTTCGTTTTATAGCCAAGCCGGTGATTTATATGTGATGTTGAGAACAATGTAGGCAGTGGAGGAATGTTCAAATTCCTTTGTTGAAAAGAAGGCAAACTCCATATCCAACAGCGAAAGTTAAAATTTCAGGAAAAACAAGATCGACTACTTGTTTCGAAAATAAATTTTAACATCAGAAATTCCACCAAATAAAAAAAATTACCTATTGATCCAGTTTTCTCGAATTGGCTTAATTTATCAAAAAAAATCCAATCATCAATTCTTCTAAAAATTCAAAACGCTTAACGGGCTTTTATTTTTTTCTTTGAAGAAAGCTTAAAATATTCTCACAAACAAATTATGCAAGTTTGGTTTTCGAAAAAAATGTGTAAAAAGTATATCAAAAACTGAAGCGTCCAGATCCATTATAATTGATTATGATGGATCTTGAAAATTTTTTGAACAGTTTTGTCTAAAATTCTCAAAACTTGACTGTTGCTTTTGGCGTAATTACTGTGGCTGAGAAAACTGTTTTTGTTTTCAAAATTTTTCTTCACATTTTTTTCATATACATTTGTGCTTTGTTTTGCTTCATTTTAGAGTGGGGTTAATTACTGAACGAACTTCTAAACAGTTTGATCCCCCAAGAGTTTACCACCTTCTCGCTCACCCATTCCCTCTCACGCGCCGTTTAAAACACCACCCCAGGGGTTTGTGGGAGTAAGTGAAATAGTGTGTAAGTGGGGGAGAGGGCATGGAGTCGGAAGGTCGGAAGGGTGTGTGTGTGGTGGATTGGAAAGGGTGGAGGCGTGAAAGTAACGGCGGATGTCGAACGTTGCGTGGGGGTGGGGTTTGTACACAGGTATGAACATGTTCGTTCGGATTCGTGTTTTGCGTGAACAACTCCCATTTAGAAGCTGAAAGATGATTTTTCATGATTTTTATGAACGAAAAATAGCGATGTTATGCTAAAATTGAAACCAGAAATGGATTATAATCGATTTTTAGTGAATTAAATTGGGGTTTTTTATTTTGAAAACTTTGTATTAAAATCCCCTAAAAATTTATTTTGTTGGTTGAATGGGTCAAAAAAAGTTGAGAATATGGGTCTAGCTTTTTGCCGAAACAACCAAATATAATCGATTATTTCCAATGAAACTCTAATGCGGGTCTGCCATGAGACGAGCAGTTTTGTTGTAATCTAGCGACAAAAAATACCTCTGCCCACAAACTACTCCGGCTGAAAATACAAGGCTGCTGGAATCGAAGCAAGAGAACTTGTTCAAGGGATGCTTGAAAGATGCCCATTATCACTCAATAGCTGAACTTGCTTCTAGAATTAGTTTTTAAAATATCTTCCATGTTTCAAATTCCAAAAAGAGTATTGAGCATCTTGAGACGCCAGAAAATTTTAAAATTTGAATTGAGGAATTCTTCACGCTTATTTGTTTTCTTTTTAAGAGCAATTTTCGTTTTTTTTATCAAACTAAAAATTGAACTAAACTGCATTTAAAGAAAACTGATATTTTCCACCAAAGCAGCCGAAATACGAAAAGACTTTGATGCTGACACCAATCACAAATAACTAATAGAGGCATCCAATGAAGGCTAATATTTTTCAGTATTTGTCAAGCAATTGAAAATTGATAGACCATCTATAACTGATCACAGCAATATAACGACCGGACTTATGAATGACTTTATCTAAAAGAAACACGCAAAAAGGTGGATTCGGTTAACGCAGAAGTTTTTTCCGGTTGTTATATATACGGATGTTTTTTCGAATTTCAAAAAAAAAATAAACAAGTTTTGCAACTTGCAAATTATGTTATTTTGCAAAAAAAACTTGAAAATAAATTTGAAAAAAAAAAATTAATAATCTTTTTAGAAAATAGTTTTGTTTTGAAATACTTTCTCTAACCACTGTGGTCAGAACACCCTTCAATACTTGTTCAGCAGTTGGCTCAATTTGTTTTTTATTGTTCCGTCTTTCGACCTGGATATCTTCGTGGCTGCTTCTATGTTGTGATCTGTTTCTGATTTTCATCAAAATTTGACTGAATTGTACTCGAAAGTTTTCATTGCTAATTACAATTTTTTCAAGAGTGAGTTTTCCCTAAATCATACGTTTTCAGGGTTACCCTGGTCATAGACGGAACCATAGATGGTAATCGCTGCGATACCTATGAATTAGCGGTAATTTTTCCTGAAAACTCAACCCAGGTTTGCTAAGCTTGTAAAGCAGGTTGCTGCAAGGAACCGGGAAGCCCTAAATTTATCGAAAGAGCGAACTTGAAGAAACAACGTTTGAGCATGGTTGGTTGTTTATCTATCAGAAACTTATTTATTTGTTTCAGAAAACACGAAACACATTCCAGCCTATTTGTTTCTCTTTGACGATATGCTGCTAGTCACAAAACTGAGGAAAGTTAAAAAGGTAAAAACATTTAACCCTTGATTCGGAAATGCATTTGTGTGATCAACCATTTTGATTGAATTGGAAAACAACTCTTGATCAGGTTAAATTGTGGTGGAAATTTATCTGAGTTGTTATTGTTCCGACTTTTTTACGCCTAGTGATAAATAAGCTATTATAAATAAGAAAAGAAGGCGTCGCAAAAGAAAAGTATTTTACAGTCTTCTCATACGGCTAAAAAGATTATACGGTTGCTAATTCGCGTCCTTTTCCACTTTTCTTCTAATTGCATAATTCGATTTATAGGGCAGTTACAGTGATGATGATCCACCCTTGTCAGCCAGCAGTTCGGACCCATTCCACCGACGATCGATAGGGGGCAAATATGCAAACAGGTAAACTTTTTCAGCGTTGGCTTAAGATGATCTGTGCACGGGCTTCTGAAAGTATTGATATCGGGGTTGATATCCTTTTTTATGTATAGAGGGGTTTGTTTTTGGTTTAAGCTTTTGTTGAACTTTTCGCGCATTTTTTTTTGCTGTTTTGACATTTAAAGATAGCGACAAATTTCTTAACGCTGGTGATACTTGTATATTAGACCAAGTTAGGCAATCAATTTCATAGCTTTTGGCGACCTTTTTATTTGAGCAATAAGTGAACTATAATTATTGGAAGCTCGATTCTATAAAATGAAACAAAATCTAGTAATAATAAAGTGTGTATACAGGGGCGGATCTAGGATTTTATAGGAAAAGGAGGCGGATTTGTTAAAAATGCTCGAAAACTTTATCGTTCTTTTTTATATAGACAAAATTGAAGTCTCAGTTATTCGACATGACTAGAAAAACCCTGCTCTGCCCAATGATTCTATGATTTTTGAACAATCAGTCCAAAAAAGGATTTTTTAGGCACTTTTTGGAAAATATTGACCAGAAAATATCTTTTTTTCTTTTTTTTTGTTGGCGCGCAGTCCCACCTCAACTTTGATATATATCGGAGCCAAAGGCATCCTCAGAATATTTTTGGGCTCGGTCAGCCAAAATTAGATCTCTTAAATTAAAACAAAAGGAGGAACCTTTCGGGTCGGCAGGTGGTCCAATCCCTGAGGAGGAGGGAGGATGGAACATCCGTTCCTTCGCCGCCCTTGAATCCGCCCCGAATAGCGTGTTTAGCCAAAATCTGGAGCGATTCCGGGTTGACCAAAAATGCTTATCTTACAATATCCATATATGAAAAAAATGCTTATCCTACAATTTCCTACAGTTTCATAGATTCAGAAAATTGTAAGAAAACTCTAGGATAAGCATTTTTTCATATATGGAAATTGTATAATAAACATTTTTTTCATATATATAGAAATTGTGAGATAAGCATTTTTTCATATATGGAAATTGTAGGATAAGCATTTTTGGTCAACCCGCGATCGCTCTAGATTTTGGCTAAACACGCTATCAGGTGCTTCCTCTAATCAAAGTTGGAATTTTTTTTCTTTCTTTTTATTCTTCGAATTAGTTTTACCCTCATAGCCAGATGAAATTTTTACTAATTCTACATCCATCGTTATTTCAGCAAAATTGTTCTTAACTGATTTAAATTTGATTGTAAACAAGTTTTTACAGGTTTCTGAAATTCTTGCCTTTTTTTGAAAAGTCCTTATAATACAATTTTTATATATGAAAATTGTATGATAAACATTTTTTTAGCCACAAACTAAACTTTCGTTTTTGATGAGCAAGGTGCTCTAAATTGAGCAAAAGCAATCTTAACTAATTTAAATTTGTTTACAAACAAGTTTTAACTTGTTTCTGAAAATCTTGCCTTTTATGAAAAAATGGTTATCATACAATTTTTATATATGGAAATTATATGATAAACATTTTTTAAGCTTCAAACTAAATTTTCATTTTTGATGAGCAAGGTGCTCTAAATTGAGCAAAAACACTCTTAATTAATTTAAATTTGATTATAAACAAGTTTTAATATATTTCTGAAAATCTTGCCTTTTATGAAAAAATGGTTATCATACAATTTTCATATATGGAAATTGTATGATAACCATTTTTTTCTTAAAAAAATGAACGTGTTATTTTTCATCACCAGACTGTTTTATTTGGTACAAATAGCCGGAGAAACTAGATCAAATCTTTTTTCAATGGTGTTTTGAAATTGTATGAAAATTGTATGATTAGCATTTTTTCATACATTTGATGTAGGCAATTGTATGATAAGCATTTTCGGTGTGGGGAAATTTAAGATAAGCATTTTCGGTTTATGGAGGTCAACCCGGGATGTGAATAATAGAGAGTGCAAAAATTGTGCGAACCACATTTAACCCTAGACCATTCAATACAGTTTATTCTGTATGTATACAGATACATGGAGCAACCTTTGTTCGTGGTCATAAAACAGCCCATTCCGCTGGACCGTCTGGAAGTGCACCCGGTGGATAAACAGGCGGCCTCCAGCAGTGGCCTGAAGAACGCGTTTGTGCTGGTCCACATCAGCCGCTTCCAGCAGATCATCGCACTCTGCCTTCTTCAAGCCAAAGACGACTCCCTCAAGGTCAGATAAAAAATATCAGTTATAGTTTTTTTTGGTTCCGAAATTAATGGGGAAATAAAATTATTTTATTTTTTTTAGTTATAATATTTGTTTGGTGGAAGAGCTTTTATTTCCATCCAACAAGCGACTTTTGATAGCGCCAATGTTGAAAAACAAAAAAAAATTCGATAAACTTTCAAATACTCAATTCAAATGAATTAGTTTCTGCTATTCATTTTGAAAACTTAAATATTGAAAAAAAATAATTAGAGTTTGAATGAAGTTAGTATTGAACAAATTTAGTTTTGACTTTCGAACAGGTTAGAAACGAATCCTTTATTTTGCATAATTAGTTGTCATTTCAGTCTGCTTGGATTAAACAGCTGAAGGAGGCCAAACTTAACTGGGAGGGACTATTGAATCAGAAACAGGCATATCAAGACAGCCAGAAACAGTCAACACAACCACAGCAACAGGCCAGTGCCACCATTATCAGTGCTACCAACAACACTAATAACAACAGTATTCTCGACAGCCAAAGTGCCAGTTCCCAGATACCTCGACCTTCAATTGTACACGAAATGACGGCTGATGCAGTTTCCGCCTTTGTCACATCCAGTTCGATGACATAACTGTGCTATACCTCTTGTTACATCATTTTACCATATTGAGATGTCAAAGCTTTATTAAGGAAGATTTGCGTAATTTGATGGCCCGGCGACCGAGAATCTAATCATAGACGCTGTTTTTCAGCTTTCCTATTATTGTTGTTGATTGATGTTGTTTAGATAGGGTTGGTTAGTCACACTATATAAAAATCATATCAAACTGAATTAATTTTCTAAATGAAAACGGACTCTTTTTCTTAATAGTAAAAACTCACCACGATAGCCTGCAGTAAATTCGACATCCACAACATTTCAAGGGTATCCCAGTTTCCTAGTTACTGTCATTTAACTTGTTTGAGCAGCCCGCGCCAGTACATACTAATTTTTGAGGGAGACCCCCTGAGAGACCTAATTTCGTGACAAAGTCCTCAATGGGTTAAAAAACGGCCTTTTGGACATTTTTTCCAACAATTTGTACTATGTAGCTTTTAGAGAACTTTGGAGAATTAGGATTTTTGGAGCACTAGGATGTTTATAATAAATGTAGGAGACAAATTTTGTCTTACAGGCTTGAAAAATCGAGTTGTTCAACCCAGGGACTGATTAAGTGGGGGGACGCTCCAGTAGGAATCTGACCATAACAAATACCAAAGGGTCCCCCTTACGACAATTTATTTGAAATTTTTCAAAAGGCGTTTTCTCGCCGGTGTCTTTGTTCCTTGAGAACCCCGTGCTAATATATAGGTGTGTAAACATTAAGTGTGAAAAAGCGTCTCTTTGAGGCCTCAAAATGGACTAAATTCATGAATCGAGACAGGTACCTGCTAGATCCTGGACTTCAACTTCAACCTTCCAGATGTCAAAGCGGGCTGCTTCCAAGAACTCAAAAGCTTCTAGCTTCAAAACACTAAAGGACTTTTTCACCAGTGGACCTAAAAAGTCACCACCCTCATCCAGTGCATCCACTCCTGAGCTTGACAACCCTATGACAACAAGGCTCGAGCCATTGGCTCGTTTAGTCACTATAAAAGACGAAAATTTTTCCTTAATTAAGTCTATATCGCCGCTCTCTGAGCAAGCTTTATATCTTACACTGACTTCGGCATCTACAACTTCAGCTCACTGGACATCAACAAGGACATCAATTTTGCGCAAATGGATGTCCCCAATAAACCCTCCTGCAACTCGTGACCCCAATAATCCTCCTGCAACTCGTTTCGCCATTTGAACTCGTGACGAAACAGGGAAAACAAAAAAATTGAACATTTCGCCCCCAACATCTGCAAATATTTCAGTTTTTGATCCACTCCATGATCCAAGAAGTACTGTACTGCCATTTCTGCTTCTGCTTTGTCGACCTCGAAGAAGAAACAAATCAGAGGGCTCAACAGATATTCAGGTTGTCAACAAGCCGCTTAAGAAGTTTGCACGCCTCTCAAATTAACTAGATCCACGTCAGAAAACAGCCCATCACAAGAAAGCGCTGGAGAAATCACGGGGCTTCTTTGATTCTCAAAGAACAGGAGCAAGACGCTCAAACAGGAATGCTGATGTGAAACTGGTTCGCGCATATGCAAAGGAAAAGGAGAAAAAAAGGAAGTTTCTGGACCCAATATTCAGCAAAATCATCTTATCTACCCGAATGATGGGGTACCTGTGATTAACTGCCTCAGTCGGTAGAAAAAAACTGGAACTTGCATCAATTTTTTCATCAAGGGCGCGATATTGAAAGCAGTGGCCGCTACAGAAAAGTTCATTTTGACGCTGCAAAGCTCGAATGATCATTGGCTTTTGACCACTTCAGACAGACCGTTTACCTGCCCTTTCTTGACTTTGTCCTGATGGACCTCACGAAACTCTTCATTGGGACAGCTTCTTCATTTATCCAAGTGTGCAAACTGCTGTCCCAATGGATAACTGAGAAAGATGCAAATGAGAAAGACTTTGATGGCCTGGTACAGTTATACGAAGGTGTACTTCAAATTGGTGATTTCCCAAGCGCGTTCGCAATTTGGAAAAACATGTGACGCTTCGCCCTGTACACTGATACGCCAGAAAATTTTATAAGTCCTCTCAGAAAAAGACACAAATCCACATTGCCAATAGCTTTTACTTTTTTTAGTCTAGTGCTACCCTCCCAGTCACTGTATGCACTGCTGAGCGCGCTTTTTTGAGCATGAAATTTCCAAAAATTTACCTCCGCTCCAATATGAAGGAGGGTCAGCTCTCAAATTTAGCTCTGATTTACATCTACACAGATGTGAAAATCCAGTTCGAGGATGTCATTGGCAATTTTGCCGCAAAAAGTCAAAGACTAATTTTTGTTTAATTTTCGTTTTTTTTTGTATAAAATTCAATTTTTCTCGGCAAATTTTTTTCAATAAACCCCCCTCAAGAAAATATTAGGCCCGCCCTGGTTCAATCTTAAAAAATGTCGACGAGAATTATTTGAAAAATACCAAGCCCTGAAACTATTTTTGGTTAATTTCTGTTAGCCGTAATGGTATCAATTAAGCAAGTACAAATCCATAAATAATCAGAATTTGCAAAATAATTTCCGTTAACTTTAAATATTGTTCTGTTATGCGCCACCGCATCCTGTAGATTGTGATTGACTCATAACTTATTGTAATTGTGATGTAACTCTTGCAATGTTACTGTTCCGGCTTTTGTAACAAAAGTAACGGAAGATTTGTGCTCGGGTGATTTTTTCTTCAGATGAAAGTCGACGTTTTAATTAGCCAATTTGGACAGAATTTTGTAATAATAATCAAAAATTGATGTTGCCCTGAGTTCAAATTTAAAAAGATATTTCATCTGTGATAAGTATTTGTAGGGATAGAAACTGATATAATGGCCAATATTTCGCGCATAAAACGTAAGAAGAGAATTAGTCCGTCTTAGAAATAGTCCAGAATTAGCTGAAGGAAGCCTATTTGCCATAATTAATTTGTTACTAAGAGCGAAATCTATCACTTTGTATTTTACATGGCGTGTGGGTGGATGGTTTTATTTTAAAAAAATTCTCAGATTAAAAAATTATTTGAACTTATTTAATTTAGTTTTTTTCATGTTATTACTGCTCGATAGAACTTAACAGGCAGTCAGAATTTCCCCTGATACGAGCCGTTTTGTTGTATTCGATTGCAAGTTATACAGAAAACTTGAAAGTTTTATAGTTTTCTCAGTGCCTCAAAAATTCACGATTGCTGATCTTCAGCAAGCACGCACTGCTATTCTATGGTTTAAAAACGTTTTCTTGAGTTTATTGTCAGTGTTTACAAAAGTGAAAACAAGCAATCAGAATCAAATGAAAATGGTTCATATTGCTTTTTTTTAAAACGCAGTAAAATTCATTAGATATCAATTATAATTGAATATTTTCACTTTTAAGCTTTTAAAGTAAACACAATGAAAGTCAAATATAATTAACTATTGCTTTTTCCTTTTTATTGAGATGCCATTTTCAAAGCACATAAAGCTGCAGGCTGGTGTGGTTGTTCAAGGGGTGGGGTGGTAATGGGGCGGTGTGGTGGGAGGAGAGGCGAAAGGGGCGAACGTTAGGTGGGAGAGATTAACGGGATCATTTTGCAATTTGAGAAAGTTTAGGTTTAGAAAACAATTAGGCCACATACTAATTTTGCAAAGTTTACGCATTACTAATTTGATAAATGCAGAACTTCTTGCAACATTTTGCACGACGCAAATAGAGTGAAAAAGAAATCCATTTTAATTGATTTCAAATGGATTACCTTTAACAATTTAACAAAATTATTACAGTTTAACTAAATTATAACAACAATTCAACAGTTACATTTTGACAACGGATTATAGGCGATTTTCTATTTCATTTTGCTGTATGAGTGCAGCATGTGAGTTAGTTATATTAGCAATAATTTAGGCCCTAAAAATCCGTCATAATTGCAAAATAATTTCCGTTAACTTTAAATATTGTTCTGTTTCCGCCACCGCATCCTGTAGATTGTGATTGACTCATAACTTATTGTAATCGTGATGTAACTCTTGCAATGTTACTGTTCCGGCTTTTGTAACAAAAGTAACGGAAGATTTGTGCTCGGGTGATTTTTTCTTCAGATGAATGTCGACGTTTTAATTAGCCAATTTGAACAGAATTTTGTAATATTAATCAAAAATTGATGTTGGCCTGAGGTCAAATTTAAAAAGATATTTCACCTGTGATAAGTGTTTGTAGGGATAGAAACTGATATAATGGCCAATATTTCGCGCATAAAACGTAAGAAGAGAATTAGTCCGTCTTAGAAATAGTCCAGAATTAGCTGAAGGAAGCCTATTTGCCATAATTAATTTGTTACTAAGAGCGAAATCTATCACTTTGTATTTTACATGGCGTGTGGGTCGATGGTTTTATTTTAAAAAAATTCTCAGATTAAAAAATTATTTGAACTTATTTAATTTAGTTTTTTTCATGTTATTACTGCTCGATAGAACTTAAGAGGCAGTCAGAATTTCCCCTGATACGAGCCGTTTTGTTGTATTCGATTGCAAGTTATACAGAAAACTTGAAAGTTTTATAGTTTTCTCAGTGCCTCAAAAATTCACGATTGCTGATCTTCAGCAAGCACGCACTGCTATTCTATGGTTTAAAAACGATTTCTTGAGTTTATTGTCAGTGTTTACAAAAGTGAAAACAAGCAATCAGAATCAAATGAAAATGGTTCATATTGCTTTTATTTAAAACGCAGTAAAATTCATTAGATATCAATTATAATTGAATATTTTCACTTTTAAGCTTTTAAAGTAAACACAATGAAAGTCAAATATAATTAACTATTGCTTTTTCCTTTTTATTGAGATGCCATTTTCAAAGCACATAAAGCTGCAGGCTGGTGTGGTTGTTCAAGGGGTGGGGTGGTAATGGGGCGGTGTGGTGGGAGGAGAGGCGAAAGGGGCGAACGTTAGGTGGGAGAGATTAACGGGATCATTTTGCAATTTGAGAAAGTTTAGGTTTAGAAAACAATTAGGCCGCATACTAACTTTGCAAAATTTACGCATTACTAATTTGATAAATGCAGAACTTCTTGCAACATTTTGCACGACGCAAATAGAGTGAAAAAGAAATCCATTTTAATTGATTTCAAATGGATTACCTTTAACAATTTAACAAAATTATTACAGTTTAACTAAATTATAACAACAATTCAACAGTTACACTTTGACATCGGATT